GAGCTCCAATTCAGGAAGATGAGAAGGTTTTACAGGTGGACAGTGGTGATGGCTGTACAGYGGTGTGAACGTGCTTAATGTCCCCRAAATGCATGCTTAAAATAGCTAAGACGGTTCCTTTCATGCTGTGTGTATTTTACCACAATTTTTTAATGCCAATGAAATATCAACTTTACTATGTAATTTTTTTTGATTGACCTTGTACAGGGCTTTCTGCATGCTGGCCAAGGGCTGTACCACTGAGCAACACCTCCACATTATATAATAATGTTTTAAATTAAGGAAAAGTTTGCAAAAGTGAAAATCAAAAATCTGAATGTGCAAATTGGTCAACTTGTTAACATATGGATTTGGATTTAGCAGGCTGTGGGGACTTGGATTCTGCAGTTTTAACAGAGCAGCTGGCCAGGGAGCTGGGAGATATCCATCAGCCCTGCCCTGCAGCAGTGGTTTATGAGGCAAAACCTGTGCCCAAATGTTCATGAATGGCTCAACACCCAGACTACTCTCACAATAGAAAACTAGGTAGTAAGCTAGCCTGGAAAAGCAAGGCTTTGCTTCACCAACAAGGATGAACTGACAGATTTTTTTTTTTTTTTTTGATACGAGGGATCAAACACAGGGGCACTAAACCAATGAACCATCTCCACAGCCTTTTTTATATTTTATTTTGAGACAGGCTCTCACAAGTTGCTCAGGGCCTCACTAAATGGCTGAGGTTGGCCTTGAACTTTCCATCCTCCTGCCTCAGCCTCCTGAGTTGCTAAGATTACAGGTGTGTGCCACCATGCCCAGTTGGAATAAATGTCAAAGCACACAAAATAAACCTACCTACTACACGTGGAGACTTCTATATGCAATTAAACTATAAAGACATCCACAAGCCTGAGCAGTATCTGCCTCTGGAAAGGGGCGTGAGGGCAGGCTCACCTGCATCCTAACTGTTGTCTTTCTAATCTGAAAATAAAATGGAAAAATGTTGACCTTGTTCTCTATACATTTGTAAATTTCCCTGTGTCACAATAATAATGCTAGGAAAGGAAATAACCTGAAATTTGTGTATTAGATATTTGAAAGGATGCTGTGTTGTTAACAGCCAAAACATGGAAACAGTCTAATATGTGAAACAGAGAAGTGGTTCAGATGCCACTGGCCACTGTAAAGCATAACACCACACAGATGTTTGTGGTCAGGTGTGGGAAAGCAGCAATACAGAGATCTCGAAGGTGCTTTCTTGCAAGAAAGAAGCCAGCCGGCCAGACAGACAGACAGACAGACACACACACACACAACCATATTTCCAGTTCTGTGTACTTGGAGAACTGGCAACACTAGCCAGCGGGACAGGCCAGAGAGAGGGGGACTGATGGAAGGCCCGGGGCTTGTCCTGGGAGTATTCATCTGTCAATGCCCACTTCCTGAGTGCAGGTGCGGGGGGCTGGGCGGCTGTGGGGAGCTGGTGTCTAATGGAGACAGGTTCAGCTTCCCAGTACAAAGGGTAATGCAGATGGATGGTGGGGATGAGAGCCCGGCTAGGCCAACGTTCTCAGTGCCACTGTGCGCTGGGAATGCAGCACAGTGGCAGAGTGCCTGCCTAGCACGCACAAGTTCTGGGCTCATCCCCAGCACAACGATTTTTTAAAAACAAATGAGGTTGGGGTGCGCGGGGGAGGRGGGTGACAATCTGCTTTAACGCCTGAGATGAGCATTTCATTAATTCCTCCTTGACTTTAAAAAATATCAGCTTGGGAGACAGAACAGCCTGGATGGTTAATGCGCACGGTTACTGGAAACCATGAACCGCAAATCAGCGGAAAGCCACCACTCTTTTCAGGAAAGAGATCCACCTCCTCTCTCCTGCGGAGGCGGTGGCGACCAGCCTGCACCGCGACCTGTGGGCTGCAGAGGGCGCGCGCGGGCCGCCCGGCCTCCCGGCTCCCCGCACCTGCCAGCCGGGTGCCAGCGTTCCGGCGCCGCTGCCCGCCTGACCTCCGCCCTGGCCTCGGCGCCTCCCCGGCCCACGCCAAGTACTGTCAGCCCCGCGGACTCCGAGGCAGCGACCTCAGTCCCAGTCCGGCTTGGCGTTCGCCCGCGGTAGGCACCTACAGTCGCAGTAGGCATCCCGCTCCTGGCCCAGCGGCCACAGCCTGGGCCCAGCGCAGATGCAAAGCGGTACTCCGCGAATGCTCAGCCCACTGCAGCCCCCTCCCCATCCACGCCTGCGCGGAGAGGAGAAGCTGGCTGCTGTGGGCTGCTGTGGAGAGTCCCAGCTTCCCAGGCAAGGCCCTTGAGGGAGCAGTGCAAGAGGAGGGGAAAGGGACGCCCCCACACAGTGGGAACCACCTCCACCTTGCTGGTGGCAGAGTCCGRGGTTTTAATTGCTTGTTTACCTGAGAGTCCTCCATTGGGATTTTAAAAGAACCACAATCATATGGCCCTTTCCTCCTGGGGTGCCCAGGGTCTTAGGGGAAGCCGAGGGCCACATCTTTAYCTTCCCAAATCTTACAGAAGGGACTCCTGGTCACCATCCACCCCTGCTCAGGCCTTGTGAGGAGTGCTGTACATGCCCGGAGGTCTTAGGAGCCAGTGGTCACTCCCAGGGCATCTGCAATTGCTGACCACATCAGCGCTGGGACGAAGAGGCTCCTGCCCTATCCTGCAGCAGCCACGTGGACACCTTGGAGGTGCAGTCCCCCACTAGGCTCATTCTGGACCTGGCATGGGGAGAAAGCTGGTCGGGCAGCCCCTAAGGTGAGTTCTTGACAGTGAGTTCTCCACACCTGCAGATCCCAGATCCTTCAAGGCCTGCTGCTGCCCTCTCAGGAGCCTTGCAGGCACCTCCTACCATGTGGCCCCTCCAGTCTCAGCCTGAATTCCAAGGGCCCAGCTTCCCCACTTTTCAGACAAGGAGTAAGTGGAAACCCAGCAAGGTCATATCTCCCACCCCCACTGATCTGGCCATGCATCCAGCTGACTTCCAGGCTCAGGGTCCACCTCCAGCCAGGGTCCAGCTTGGGGCAGGGAGAGAGGGAAGACCTGAACCTAGAGCCAACCCCCAATAGTCCAGGGGCTCCCAGGGATTCCTTCCAGGATTCTCCCTCCAGGTGTTTGTCCTGTGCTTCCTCTGAGCCAAGAACAATGCATTCCCCCTCCGCCCCAAACACACAAAGCCTGGACTCTTCTCGGCTGGGGAGGGAAGAGAGCCACCAGCAGGGCCGCAACACCTGCTGTGCACACAGGAGACAGGGGTGAAGGGGAAGGTCCTGCAGGCTCCTGCCCAGCACCTACCTTCTGCCCATGGGTCCAGTTTTCATTTACCCTCTGAGCCTGTGGTCCCAGGAGGGGCTTGGCCTGTCAGTCAGCCTTCCTAAGACCCTTCACTCAACAAGCACTGGCTGAGGGCCGCCCTTCAGCTCTTCCCACCTCCCTCCAGTAAGGCACTGCCCTCCCAGCTCCAAACCCCAGGGTGACCCTAGAGGACAGGCCGGCTAGGGGCCCAGGTTGGAGAGTGATGGCCCCTCTGCTCCATCCAACACCCCACTCAAGGGCAATTTTTAAATGTCTGAGGTGTCCTGTCACACTCCCCCTCCCCAAATCATTACCTTCAAAGACTCCCAGGGCTCCTCAGCTCCCACCTACAGGGCTCTTTGTTCTCTTTCTCGGGTCTGGTGCAGGGCACAAGGCCTGGCACAAAGAAGGTGCTCAGTAAATACTGGATGAACTTGAGTGAAGGACTCTGGGCCCACCAGGCCCCTCCTGAGCCACAGCTGTCCCTGGGGTGGCCATCTGAGACTTGCAGGTGCCTTGGAGTGGCCTCAGAACTGGCCCCCGTGTGCTTCCAGCCCAATAAGGTCCAAGGTGTCATTACCTATGTTTTGTTAGCGCTCTGGASGTGCTTATGTTCCCACAGTGGTGGGCTGGGGCTGACATTCCCCAGCCTGCCTGGGTGACATTAAGGTGGTCGTGGAGAGCTGTAGAGGGGTGAGTTTTCACTGGAAGGGTCAAAGGCTGGAGGTCATGAGTGGGGTTAGGATCAGTGCCGCCCCAAGAACGCTAGGGGGTTCTGGAAACGGCCCAACTCCTGCGTTGACGGGATTGTGACCTGAGACAAACCATGTSGCCTCTAGAGCTTCCGATTTCCACCCAAGCAAAGTGGAGATCCGGGCTCCCACCTCCAGGGGTCGCGTAGAGGGTAAACGTGCCTGCTGCAGGTAAGACGCTTGGCCGGCTGGGCCGTCGTGCGCGCGCTCGCAGGCCGCACCGGGGCTGAAGAAGGCCCTCCGGGCTGCGGCTCTATGTGAACAAAAGCTGGGGACAGGAGAGAAGCCGGCTCCAGCTCCAGCCCAGGCGGGCAGGGAGAGGACCTTCGCGCCAAGGAAATGGACAGGAGGACCGCCCGCGGGTCTGTGCCCAGCAAGGCAGGGGGGTCCTGGGGCCACGCTGAGCCCTAGGCTGGAAAGGCTTCCTGGTGGTGGGGTCCCCAGTACCGCCGCCGGTCGCCCGGGCCAGGGACCGGGACGCCGCGTAGCTCCTTTAAGAGCCGGTGCCAGGTGAGAGCGGAGGGCGGTGGCGGCGAGCCCCGGCACCCCCGCCCCCGCGGCCGCCGCCTCTAATCTGCACTCGGGGCCGGGGCACGGCTGACGTCATCTGCCCTCGAGCTGCGCGTGCTGATTGGCTGCAGGTGACGTCAGGGGCTTTTTCGCTCGGCATGACCTAATCCCCGCTGGCGGCCCCGCCCTCCGCCCCGGGCCTGTCACTCGCTGCTCCCGAGGCTGCTGAGCCGGCTCCGCGGCCCCCGCCCCACCCGGACGCCGGAGCCCGAGCCCGGGCCGAGCTGAGCCGGAGCCGCCGGCCGCGCCCGCCGAGTTGCGGGCTGGGATGCGCGCCGCGAGCGCGCGTGCCCGCCCGCAGTGCGCGCTCTCCGGCTCGAGCGAGCGCTCCCCGCGGCGGCGGCGGCGGCGGCGAGGGCGGCGGCGACGCGGCCAGTGCGCCCCCCCGGCCCCTGCCCCGGCTGCGCGGCCCCCGGGCGGGCCCATGGGCGGCGCAGCGGAGCGAGCGCCCTGAGTGCGGCGCGGGTCCCGGTGCGTCCCGGCGGTGAGAGAGAACCAGGTGAGCGGGGCGCCGGGCCCGGCGGGGAGCGGGAGAACCGGTGGGGAGGGGTCGACCCAAGCCCCCGACACCCGCGCAGCGTCGAGGTCTCTCGGCGGGCGCCCGGGAGGAGGCGGCCCCAGCCCTCGAGCGTAGGGCTAGGGCCCAGCCCCGGCCTCGGCTCGCTGGGTACGCTCTGCGGACCCCCGCCCGGCTCAACGCCCGGGGGCCGCTTTGCTTCTCCCCGAAATTCCTTCTTATTTGGGGGGGACGTGAATTAAGGACCCAGATGGGTTATTTGATGCAAACGTAGAGCTGTCGGAGCCCCTACGCCGCATCCCCTTTGGGGGCCAGAATGGGAGAAGGTCGTCCTTTGCGGGTAGGAGATGTGGAGCCTGGGCCGGCCATAGGAAAAACGGTCTTTGGCTCGCAGGAAGCCTCAGGAAAGGGTTCGGTCCACATCTGCGCGGGGAGAACCTGCAGGCTGCTCCACACCCGCACCTTGGGGTGCTCAGCCTATGCGGAATAAAGACCATCCTTGCCGGCTGCAGAAGCAGACGCGGTGCTGGGGGAGGGGCCGGCTCAGCCAGCCTCCTAGGCCTTCTGCCCACCTGGGGAGGGGTGCAGGCCAGCTGCAGGGTGCTGACCAGCCTGGCCAGGAGAGGGAGGAGCCACAATAGACCCAGCCCCCACCAAGTCATCCCTGCTGGGAGAATTTGCTTTCTGACCTCCTGCTGCAAAGGTGCGCTGGATTTGCCAGGGAGTTGGGGGCCTTGGTGGTGCTGTGATGCGGTTGGAGGTATTCTGGGACGGAGGAAGCGGGTGGCACGCTCGGCTTAGCCCTGCGGTGCTCTGTTGTGCATTTCAGGATGGGGTGGGGTGTCGCCAGGCAGGAGAGCAGCCCTCTGTGCTGCATGYCCCTGCCCGAGGGGTCAGTGTAGAAGCACAGAGGACCCCCACAGACCATCTCACACCTGCTTGCTCCCAGAGCAGCCTTCCGAATTAGGGTGGCCTGCAGTGCCTGGCTCTGCACAGGGAGGACAGAGTTCTGTGTATTTGCTCTTCAGTTGACAAGCACCTGCCCCATGGGCAGATCATGTGACCAGAAGGTAGAAGTTCATCCTTAGGTCTGACTGAAATACCTGCAGTGGGGCCTCAGGAGAGTTGCTGGGCAGTTCTCTTCCCTGTGCCCTCAGCCTTTGGGGAGGCTACCCCTGGGAGCAGAGTTCTGTGAGCAGAGATGCAGAGAGCGCTTCCAGTCCTCCTGGGTCAGGACTCCTCCAGGCATCTCTTCTCTTGGGCTCATGCTGATGTCTGGACCCAAAAGTTTCAACTGCATTGGAGACCCAGGAGAGAGTCTGGCTGGTCCGTGGCAGGTCTGGGGAGGCCTTGGTRGGCAGCTTAGAGAAAGCAGGGAAGGGTCCAAACTCACAGCAAGGGAGCGATGGCTCTGGTCACAAGACTTCAAGGACTGAGGCCACCTCTGGGCTGCTTGGGACAGTGACCGACTGAAGCCCTGCAGATGGGGGGGCTGCAAGGGCCAGGTGGGAGTGGAGGGAAACTTCTGGCCTCCCTCTCAAAGGCCTACTTGCTGTGCCTCTCCCACCCCAGGCTGGGCCCACTCCTGTTCCTGGGAACTGAGGTGGCTTCCATGCCACTCTCCAGTCCAGTGCTGGCTCTGCGTGGCCTTACCATTGTCCCAGCCAAAGCAGACTATGTCCCCACTTGCCCCAGGGAGCTGAGGGGAGGGAGAGGCAAGAGCACTGGACTGACCCTTGTGAGCACTGGAACCTCTGTCTCCTGGATGACCCCTCCAATCTCTCTTCCTGGCCTCCAGAGGTGCCCCTAGTGAGCCAGCATCTCAGCAGCTCAGTTCTCCATCATCAGTTCTTGTCTGAAGTTCTTGTCTGAGCAGGGGAAGGGAGACACCATCCCTGTCCTCCAGTGGCTGATGGCTCTGGGAGCCATCTCTAGAGGTAGTGAGTTCCCTCTCACTAGGTGTAAGCAGGAGGTAGCTTGGTGAGTGTGCTATCAGTTGTGGCAGGCCCCAGCACTTGACTGTTGCTAGTCACTTTTGCGCTCAGGCACAAGAATGCTGTGTGGAGGCCTGAGGTGTAGGAGTCAGTGTGTGAGGTCTCAGAGCTAGTACCTGGGGTACAGGTGTACTGAGATGCTCAGGGATTTTGGTATGCAGAGGGTGAGCACGTGTGTGTGAATATGCACATGGGCGTGTGCACACTCTGGCACCTCATGTGTACGCACCTGCATCCCTGTGAGAGTAATTACACACGGGAAGAGTTAGATTGTAGGCCATCCAGGTTCAGCGGTGTGCAAGGGGTGTGTGTCTTCCTGCGTCTGCAGAGGGCAGTGTGGGCCAGGAGCCAGGCTGTGAGGGAGCTGGAAGGTCATAGCCTGGGACACTGGACTTGGGGCCCCCTTTCCTCTGAGCCCTCCAGACTCTACCTGCAGGTCTTGCCCCACTAGGACTTCCTCTTGCCCACACCAGGCTCTGAAATAGCAGGGTGACAGCCGTTCTCCCACCCTGGTTCCCAGGTTCCTAGGTTCCCAGGAATGGGGTATGGGTCAGACCTGGGGGGGCTTGATGGGGTGCTGGCCTGCCTCAGTTCCCCCTGCTTGTCCTAACCCTGCTGACCTGCCCAGGGCTGACCCAACCTCTCCACTCCCCACCTACTCGGCCCAGCTCTGGACTCTGATCAGAGCATCTGGTGAAGGCCAAAGGGGAGGGCCTGTCCACCCCCCAGCATGCACCCTGGGGGCACCAGGGTGCAGAGATTTCTGCAGGAGGGTGTGCTCTGGCCAGACCTTCCCCATGCTGACAAGAAAGCCTGGAGGAGGCAGGCGGGAGCCGGTGAACTGCAGTGCGAGGTGGATCCTGGGAATTAAGACTAGGTAGGGCAGGGTGGGGGACGGCCTTCCTCACTGGCTGGGGCCAGTGCCGGCCCAGCTACAGGGCACCTGCTGTGAGGAGTGGGAGCCAGCGGGGAGGGGCGACCTGCGGCTCAGCAGAGCAGAGCAGCCTGYGCTGTGGCTGCTGTGGCAGGAGCAGCCGTTGCCTGGCACCTCTGCGGTTGCCATGGTGACGATGGAGGTGCTAAGTTGCTAATGAGTCCCCCTTGGCTGCAAATAACAATACTGGAGTGGCTAACAGGGCCAAGCCTCAGCTCCGAGGGTTCCTGGGAGGCAGGGCAGGGACCAGGTACTAGGCCTTGAGCCCCCTGCCCACCTCTCCAGCTCCCACCCAGGGCCCTGCAACCAGACTTGCCCTGCCCTGCCCTGCCCTGCCCTCTGGGTCAGGCCTTCCACCACCACCCTCCTAGGCCTGCGCTGGTTGCCTGTCTTCTGAATGGGCACCTGCCCAGCCCAGCTTCCTTCAGGGCTGCGTCAGGGCCAGGGCCTGTGAGTGTCCTTCTGTACTGGGCGTTCTCTGCTTCAGGTGAGAGCACTGCCCACTTGGCAGGTGAGGATGTTGAGGCTCTGGGGTGGCAAGCCTGGGGACCCCCAGCCCCCAGTGCCCCTACCTCACTGTGGCCTGCTCTGGCTCTAGCCACCCAGGGCAGAAGTTCTGCCCAGGCCTGCACAAGCTGTTCTCTCTGGTCCAGAAGACCTGCTGGCCCTTCACCAACTTGTACAGGATTCAGGTTAGAATTGAGGAGAACTTCCCAAGACAGTTCATATAGGAATTAAATCTGTAGGCAGGGCCCCCTTCAGGAGGCAGCAATCCCCTCAGCAAGTCGGCAGGAAGCCCCTCACTCAGCAGGCAGGGATTGTCACTGTTGAACTGGCCCCAGGGGAGAGGGGGGGAGAGGCTCAATCCTGGCCTTCCCCCAGTGGAGGAATGAGGAGAGGTGGAGGCATGGGAATCAGTGAGTGGCACTCCCGGTCCCCATGCCCACAGTTTTGTGGCTCAGCATAGGGCTACCCACCTGGCCTAGTGAGGCCAGCTGCGGCAGGGCAGGAGGGGACAGGTCAGGGGCTGAGCTGCAAGTGCCCAAGGAAAGGGGTTCTGGGGGTGGCCAGGGGCAGCAGGGCTCCATCCTGCCCCACTACATCTGTTGGTGGTGTGTCGAGGCTCCTCTGTACCCGCCTAGCTACTCTGCCCCCCTCTCTGGGATTCTGCCGACAGCCCTCACCCACTGGCCTACGAGCTGACCCAGGGGATAGAGACCCAGTGGCAGCTGTCGCTGTGGTCCCCAGCTTCATGAAGCTGTTTGTAATGTTTTGAGGTCAGGTGTGCCACTCCAGGGCCCCACGTGGCTGTGGTTTGAGGGCCCATTGAGGGGGTTTTGCCCACCTTGTCCCTCTGCTACAGGCTCTGGGGTATGCCCTGGGCTGGGACAGATAGGGTACCGTACAGACCTCCACTGAAAGGCTACCATGGCACTGGGGGGCCGGAGCCACGCGGGCCACCCAGGACCCTGGGTTCTGTCCAGCCTCCTTGTGTGTGACCTGGGTGGGCCTCACCCCTGCCCTGAGCCTCCTTTTCCCCCTCTGTAAAGCAGACTTGTCATCTCTGACACCGTGTCTGCTAAGGGGCTGTGAGGCTTGAGGGCACCTACAGAAAGGCCAGTGCTGGCCGGTAACAGGGGATATAGGACTTGACACCAAGCCTGCAGGAAGGGCTTCCAGTGTCCCCAGGTGCCCGCCACCTCTAAACACCCCTCAGCCTGAGGACATTTGGGGCCATKCTGAGGACCTCCGGCACCTGACCTTCATGTGCAGGCTGCCCCTAAGGGGCCCTGAGACCCCAGGCCGCYGCTGCACCAAGCACCGCCCCACACACCCCACAGGGGCCATGCACTCACCCCCACCCCTTTGTGCAGCAGGTAGCGTGGACCAAACCTCAGCCTGCAGAACTGGGACAGTGCCGTCCCTGTYCTCACATCCAGGCTCCTCCTCCAGCACCCTGGCCTTCAGCATCCAGGAGCCAGAGCCAGCAGAGGCAGTCCCAGCCCCCGCCCCCCACCAGGGTGGGGATTATCGGCTCAGAGAGCTGCCCTTGGAGATGAGCCTCTAGGGATTGGCCTGGTGGCACTGTGCCAGGGAAGGAGGGCAGGGGCAAGGGCAGCTAGCTGGGCAGAGGGCAGAGGGGCAAGGGCAAGCTCTGGACCCGTCTTGCTCGGGGAGGGTAGATAAGAAGAGGACAACGGGGCAGAGGTTCCAGGACAGAGGAGTGTAGCTGCAGGCCAGGGTGCAGAGGAAGGACCCTGGCCAGTGACCTTTTTCTGGGTCCCTCTTACCCTCCTCTGCCTCCTTGTGCCTTGAGCAGCTGCTGATGCCAGGACTGGACAGTGCCGRGGCTGGACAGGGTCTCCTGTGTCCTCCACCCTGGGTGAGACTGATGCGTCTGGGACAGAGTGCTCCAGGGTGCACGTCCGGGTTCCAGCCCCAGCCTGCCCAGGAGTCTCTGGCCACCCCCGGGGCCGGTGGCGCTGCTGACAGCCTGCCTCTCCCTCAGGTCTGGCACCATGCACTAGGGCAGTCTCCACGCCGCAAGGCCGTACCCTCCTCACTTCAGGGTCACCCTCCCCACCACACACTGCCCCACCATGGCCGGGGACCGGCTCCCGAGGAAAGTGATGGACGCCAAGAAGCTGGCCAGCCTGCTGCGAGGCGGGCCTGGGGGGCCTCTGGTCATTGACAGCCGCTCCTTTGTGGAGTACAACAGCTGGCACGTGCTGAGCTCCGTCAACATCTGCTGCTCCAAGCTGGTGAAGCGGCGGCTGCAGCAGGGCAAAGTGACCATCGCGGAGCTCATCCAGCCCGCTGTGCGCAGTCAGGTACYCTTCACCTGTCCCTGAGAGTGTCCCCGTCACCTCTTAGTGCACAGCGGAACCTCCTCGGCCCCTGAACCCCCACTGGGCTCCTCCACGCTCTCAGGTTCTCTTGCTCATCTGCCAGCCTCCTGCCCACTCAGATCACCGAGGCGGTGGGCTTGCCACACCGAGGGTTAGCCCCTCAAGGGGTACAGAGAACGACGAGAGACACAGGGGCCTGGGGGCTGACACACACGCAGGCCCACCTGGGTGGCCACTCTGACTGCCATGAGGGCAGGAGGAGTGGTCTGGGGCCCACGCTGAGCAGTCCCTCAGGCTAGCATCCCAGTCCTTCCCTCACCCCCGGGGTCTTCAGTGAGCCAGAATTCTCTCTGTGGCCCCCCAGGAATGTCCTTGCAGGAAGGAACAGTTCATTTGGACAGTCCATTTCTCCTCAGAACCACTGAATCCAGCTACTAGGGAGGGACGCTGAGCCAGTGACCTGTGTGGGCAGCAGCAACCCCCCCTACCACCTGAGGTTGGAGCAGCCTGGAGGCTGAGGGAGCATCCTGGTCACAGTTCTTCCCCACTGCAGGCCGGGATGTGAGAGGAGCCGGGGGGGATGGCTGCTTGACAGGAGTCCCCACTCAAGGCCAGAATGGCTCCCCCGTGGCTCCAGTGAAGGGAATCCTGTGATTAATCACCCCCCCATGAGGACTCCCGGCCAGAGTGCAATCCCATTGGCTGCCGATGACATCATCCAGCCAGGGTTGGTGGCTCAGCTGGCTTAAGGACTGAGTGTGCTTGGGGGTGGGGACCTCAGCCTGTCTGAGCAAAAATGCTCAACATCTGGCCCCAAGACTGGCCCGTGGGGTAGGGAGGAGGGCAGCAGGAGCCCCAGGCCTGCGTCCTGGCTAGGCAGGTGGGGTCCCCTGCAGCCTCAGTTCCTCCTTCTAGGGGCTGGAGGGGAGAGGAGTCAGGTGGGCTAGCAGTCAGCTCACTGAGCCTGGACCCAGGGCACTGCTTTGAAATCCAAGAAACATGCTTCCAAGATCCTGAGGATGGCTCAGCCACCCTGGAAGCCAGCTCAGACCCCATACATGTGGCACAGGACCTGTCACTCTCCTGTGTCTCCAACATGGGCCTGGCCACAGTGGACAGCCACTCTGTCTGTTTCCTTCATCAGGAGCCCCTCTGTCTTTCCCTGGTCTGATGCCTGTCYGCAAGGCCATGGGTGTTTGCACCTGCCCAGGTGGGGTATGTGTGTGTGTGTGTCTGGGCAGGTGAAGGAGAATGTGTGAGGTTGTGGCGGCACCTGCCCACCCTCAGGGAGCCAGGTGACAGCACCCCCTCCTCTGGGCCTCTGACCCCTCACTCTGTCCCTGAACCAGAGGCAACAGGCAGTGGMAGGACACAGGGCACCTGACCTCTGCCCTCACGGCCCCCAGGTGGAGGCCACGGAACCACAGGACGTGGTGGTCTATGACCAGAGCACACGGGACGCCAGTGTGCTGGCAGCAGACAGCTTCCTGTCCATCCTGCTCAGCAAGCTGGACGGCTGCTTCGACAGTGTGGCCATCCTCACAGGTGAGCTCGAAGGGGCCCCTGCCGGGACACCTTCTCCTCTTTCCCCCTGTCTCCTTGGCTGGGATGGGGTGTCCAAGGAGGCCAGTGTCTGCTGGGCCAGTGGGGAGGCTTCAGTGCCTCTAGTTCTCACGCTTCAGGACCTGTGTGACCTGGGCCTGCCACCATGGTCAGCAGGTAGAAAGGTAGACAGGAGGAAACCCCAAGGCTAGTTCTTTTAGAGCAGGGCCAGGGACCCAAGCTCTGGGTCACAGGGCAGAGGCAGAGGCCCCGCCCTTGGGAATCTGTCTGAGCTAGAACTGGTCTGTACCCAGGGGGTCTCCCTGAAGGCCACAGCTGACCACAGATTGCTTAGCAACAGCCTGCTTAGCCAGGGCTGCTGCCTGGGGTTACCTGTTCTGCAGCAGCAGCCTGGCCCTGTGACTCCACACTGGAGACTGAAAGCCCCTGGCGCGCACACACACACACACACACACACGCACACACGCACACTCACAGGCAATGGTGAGAGGGATTCTGTGGGATCTACTTCCTGGGGAGGTGGCCCAGGTCCCAGAGGAGCCAGATGGAGCTGGTGTGTCCCAGGAATGCCCACGCTCCCCCCCTGGGTCTGAGGTCTTCATCAGCATTCCTGCAACCCAACCTCTGTGCACCACSGGGTGTAGCAGGCAGGTGGAGAGTGGAGGCTCAAGACAGCACATACCCTCCCTGTGGGGGACAGTGGGATGGCCAGCGAATAACCAGGCTGGCCCTCTGGCTTTGGTACCTAGCAGGCACAGTGGCCCCCAACCCAGGCCTTGGGGACCTGCAGACCACATTAGTCAGGCTGCTGGGCAGGCCTCCTGAGGGGCATCTAGGAGGCCTGGGGTTCTGTACCGCATGCAAGGTACTTGCTATAGTCTCTTGTGTCTGAATGAGTTGACACCCACCCTGCAGTCACTGTGCTGGACACCTGGCAATTGCAGCCATGTGTCCCACTTGTGATGTCTGGGGGCATCGGTGTTTTGCGGTGCCTGTGTGTGAACTGGGGACCCATAAGCACAGCACAGAGCTGCACACCCTGGAATCCAGTCCTCTTCCCCTAGGTTACCATTGGGAGGCCAAGTCAGAATGGAGGGAGGGAGGAGTCCTGGGCCTAACAGGAGCCCTTCTGGGTCCAGCTTGCCACCCTCACCAGGAGTGGGAGCCATGAGGCTTTTCTGAGAGTCAGAAGTGGGTCGAGAACACACCTCCCTGACCTGCTTAGGGAGGGGGCCAGCGCTCAGAAGGGCCTGCCTCCCTGRGGGTACAGGGTGGGAGGCTGGGGTTTGCCTGGAGGGCATGGCTGATCTTGTCTGTCCCCTACCCCACTCAGCTCTCAGCTTCCACCTGCTCTTCCCATTCTGAATATCCATCCCCACAAGGTTTACATCTGTCCCCAGTTCTCTAAGGGCCAAGCCAGGAAGGAGGCATGGTCCCATCACATGAGGTGGGCTCATGGTGACACCAAGTCAGGACTCGAGTTCAGGACTCACAGGCCTTGCCCACCAGCCCTCCTCCCTAAGGTGGGCACAGCCCCTGCTCTGAGCCAGCCCTCCTCTGAGCAGAGAGAAGGAGGGGAGTGGGGAGTAGGGAGGGAGCTGCCTGCTGTGACCACCAGCTGGGGTGCCTGGTCCCCGCTCCTCCTGGGCCCGGAGGGGAGGAGAGCCAGGAAGAGGAGGATGGCCCAGTGGAGGGAAGGGGACGCCCTGGCAGGGCAGATCTGCGGCAAGCAGGAGCAGCACCGTTGATCCAGGGTCTGCTACTGTGACCCAGCCCCCACTCCACCGCTGTCCTGTCCAGCAGGGGCAGGGACAGGAGAGGGCCTAGCTCTTCAAAGCAGCAGTGTGCCTTCCCTGGAGCCAGTGCCTGCTGGAGTGTCGGTCCTACAGAAGGAGGGCAGGTAGTATCACGATAGTGCCCCCAACCCAGCCCTTGCAGCCCAGTCCAGACACCCCAGAAGGCCCTCTACCCCCACAGGAGCTGCAGCAAGAGCCCTCCCTGAGTCCAGAGGGACTGGGAACCCTTCCGGGCTCTGTGCTCCCATGCAGGCAGCTGCGAGTCTGGGACCCTGYTCTCAGGACAGCAGGAAAGGTGAACGTGGGGTCTGTCTGGCGGCACACAGGCCAGTACCTGCCCTTTGGCGTGTGTCTGAGATTTCCTTGTGGCTAGCAGGTGTGCCCTCCATGACCCCAGAGAACAGGCAGCCTTGGTGGGCTGTAGGAAGGTGTCCTTGGGAAATGGCTGGAGGCTAGGGAGGCTCCTAGGCCCCACAGAGACCCACTCACTAAAGTCTGGTGCCCCTTCCTTGCCAGAACATCCCCAAAGCCTGGACAGCTCTGAAATCCTGAAACCTGGAGACTCTTTAGAAACACCCAACTTGCCTGGCTCTGCCTGGGGGTCCTGGGAGGCTTCCCTGGGACATGGCTGAGAAGGCTACCAGGTGGCCGCACCTGCCAGAACTTCCCTGCTTTGGGAGGAGACGGGGGTGGGAGGACTCTGATGGAACCCACACCCCATGCTGTGGCCTGCTCCTTCCTGTCCAGCCAGCAGTTCCTAAGGAAGGAACCACTTCTCCTCCAAAGCTAGGGCCTGAATGCCCCCAGGTCATCTCCATGCCCCCTCCAAGTCAAGCCTTCTTTGGGTGTTRAGGAAGCCCACACAGCACACATTCTGGGTGGATATTGTATCAGCYGTCTGTGAGCTGGACCAGGGTGAGGCCAAAGTGCCAGACTTCTCTGTCCTCAAGAAGTGTGGAGGTCCCTGGCACCCACTCCTGAAGACCAGGGCAGGAAATAGCATGGGTATTCCCAGGCCCAAGACCCTGCCTCCACTTTCCTGCCCTTTCCCATGGGATGGGGTGGGTCTGAGCCATTGTCTCATGTGCTAGATAATCGGTTGAGGCCAGAAACAGGAACCCACTTGCTATGAGGGTTGTCTCCCAAGAAATGTGGACACCCCGGGGAATTCTAGACAGGTCTCAGCTTGCCCTATCAAGAACTGGTGGCCACTGGATGGGTGCTGCCCAGTGCCTGGTCAGACTCAGCAGTCACCCCAGCCAGGTCAGGTGTGGCCAGGTCCATTCTCCTGTCTCCCTAGTCATTCTTATCTTTGAGCTGCACAGCAATGCTGTGTGGCAGGCAGGATAAGGAAACTGAGGCCAGAGGCCTGCTCTGCCCCGTGTGGCTGAGTCAGACACACCAGGGTCCCCTGCTTGAGTCTCTTCAGCCGTCAGTGGAGKGTTCCCTTCACAGTCTGGGGCCTGGGACTTGCCTGCACATGGAAGGTGGCAGGGCAGATGCTCCCTGTGCCCAGGTTTCTCCTCTTGGTGGAACAGAGCTCCGACCCGAACACAGATATCCCTGTGGGCTATGCCAATCCTAGTGGGTGATGTCATGCCCGGGGCAGAAGCCCTTACCTCGGAGGCCTGGCACCAGAGCCCAGGTGTGGGGCTGCCAGCCAAGTGGAGTCAGGGAGGGATTGCATCAGTGCAGCAGAGGAGACGGAAGGCCTGGCCTGGCCCTGGGCCAGCGGTGTGCTGGGACTGAGGAGGGTGCTTCTCCCCAAGCTGTGTGACCCTGGCCCTCAACAGGAKACCCTGTGGAGGTCTGAGCCAGCCCTTGCCTGGACCATCGCATGCTGTGCTAGCTGGCCACCTCGACCCCACATTTATGGGCATCACAGCAGCGTCCACAGTGGGGCCATCCCTTAATTAGTATGAGAAGGAATGTGGGCGTAGGTGCAGGCTGTAAGTGGGCGGCAGCACGCGCCCCCAGCGTGGCAGAGAGGCCTGCCAGCAGGAGACCAGGTACCTGGGCCAGAGGCTGGCTGGCCAGCTCTGCGCAGGGTCGGTGGGGTGTGGCTGAGCTGCGGCAGCGGATGCAGTGCCCGGGCTCTCTCTCCTGCCCCAGCTGGCCAGCCGGCCTGACGTGCCTCCCGTGCCTCCTCCTACAGGCGGGTTTGCCACCTTCTCCTCCTGCTTCCCTGGCCTCTGCGAGGGCAAGCCTGCCACCCTGCTGCCCATGAGCCTCTCCCAGCCCTGCCTGCCTGTGCCCAGTGTGGGCCTGACCCGCATCCTGCCTCACCTCTACCTGGGCTCTCAGAAAGACGTCCTGAATAAGGTGTGTGCACCGCTAGGGATTCTGGCTGACAAGGGAAAGAAGCAGGGGTTCAAGAGCTAACTCCTGGGGTAGCCTGGGGGAGGAAGAGGGAAGGGGCGATGGATGAACCAGGGTGGGAGAGCATGTGGTGGGGGCACAGGACAACAGAGGGCCCCAGCCCCACATAGCAGAGCAGGGCATGGGGGAGGTACCAGCAGGGCTGGGTGGAGAGGCAGGCTCCCAGCCCCTTCCATGGTGGAGCTGGAGCCCGCATGCCAAACTGCTGATGTCACTGGGCCCCTGCCAGCTCTGAAAGAATCCCGTGTTTTAAAAATGGTGACAAGGGAAAAGGGTAAAGCCACCGCCCAGGCAACCATGAAATTCCTGGGAGCCTACCGCAGACTGTGGGCGGAGCTGCAGGGAGGCCAGCGGTCCCCCAGCTCCAGCTCCAGGCCTTTGGGCTCTGTCGTGGAGATGGGAGGGAGCTCCTAGGCCCAGCCCCTTCCACATGGCCAGAACCAGGACCAACTGGGGCTTGGGATCTAGGCTCAGGAGCACCCCAACACTCACGGCCTTCAGGCTGCAGAGAGGAAGAGCGTCTAACCCCACCAGGGGGCYCTCTTTTCTCTGCCACCTCTTCAACCCATCCTCCTTCCCCTCCAGGATCTGATGACCCAAAATGGAATAAGCTATGTCCTCAATGCCAGCAACTCCTGCCCCAAGCCAGACTTCATCTGCGAGAGCCACTTCCTGCGCATCCCCATCAATGACAACTACTGCGAGAAGCTGCTGCCCTGGCTGGACAAGTCCATCGAGTTCATTGGTGAGGCTGGGTGCTGCTGCTCCCCTCCCAGGAGGGCAAGTCGAGACAGAGGGGAGGCCAGGTCGAGACAGAGGGGAGGCCAGGCACTGTGGCCACTCTGCTCAGGCCAGGGAGGGGTCCCTGAAAAGTAGCTGGGACTGTTGATACAGGTGTGTGTGGGGGGTGCTACCAAAGGGATGGAGGGGCCTAGCAATTTCAGCTTTCACTTGGTCCCCATGGTTCTGCTCCCAGATAAAGCCAAGCTGTCCAGCTGCCAAGTCATCGTCCACTGTCTGGCTGGCATCTCCCGCTCTGCCACCATCGCCATCGCCTATATCATGAAGACCATGGGCATGTCCTCTGATGATGCCTACAGGTATTGCACTCCTCCTGGGTTCCAGGTGCTTGAACTCAGCAACCTATGGCCCACAGCATCCCCTGCCTTCCCCTCTCCACCCACTGGCATCCGAATGGCCCAACCTCCTGCCCTGGCCAGGAAGGGGAAGTCGAAGTCTGTGGGCACACATCAGTTGATGTGTGGGACCTGGTGAGAGCCTCTCCCACTGACTACCTCTCCTTGCCCACTCCAGGTTTGTGAAGGACCGGCGCCCATCCATCTCGCCCAACTTCAACTTCCTGGGCCAGCTGCTGGAGTATGAGCGGAGCCTGAAGCTACTGGCTGCCCTGCAGGGTGATGCGACCCACCCTGGGACCCCTGAATCCCTCCCAGGCCCTGCGGCAGGGGTCCCACTGCCCCGGCTGCCACCACCTACCTCAGAGAGCGCTGCGACGGGGAACGCAGCGACTACCGCAGCCAGGGAGGGCAGCCCAAGCACCGGTGGGGAGGCCCCAGTGCCCATGGCACGGGCTACCAGCGCACTACAGCAGGGCCTCCATGGCCTACACCTCTCCTCCGACCGCCTCCAAGATACCAACCGCCTCAAGCGTTCCTTCTCGCTGGACATCAAGTCCGCCTACGCCCCCAGCCAGCGGCCAGAATGCCCAGGCCCGCCTGACCCTGGAGAGGCCCCTAAGCTCTGTAAGCTGGACAGCCCGTCGGGGGGTACGCTGGGTCTCCCCTCGCCCAGCCCGGACAGCCCGGACCCAGCACCCGAGGCGCGTCCACGTCCCCGCAGGCGGCCCCGACCTCCCGCTGGCTCTCCTGCTCGCTCCCCAGCTCATGGCCTYGGCCTGAACTTTGGCGATGCCGCCAGGCAGACTCCGCGGCATGGCCTCTCAGCCCTGTCGGCTGGACTGCCCGGACCAGGCCAGCCGGCTGGCGCAGGAACCTGGGCGCCTCCCCTGGATTCCCCAGGCACTCCGTCCCCAGACGGGCCCTGGTGCTTCAGCCCCGAGGGCGCACAGGGGGCGGGTGGCACGCGGTTCGCAGCCTTCAGCCGGGCAGGTGTACCAGGACCAGGCAGTGACCTGCGGCGGCGGGAGGCGGCCCGGGCTGAGCCCCGGGAAGCGCGGACCGGCTGGCCCGATGAGCCGGCCCCTGACACGCAGTTCAAGCGGCGCAGCTGTCAGATGGAGTTCGAGGAGGGCATGGTGGAGGGGCGCGCGCGCGGCGAGGACCTGGCCGGTCTGGGCAAGCAGGCCAGCTTCTCCGGAAGCGTGGAGGTCATCGAGGTGTCTTGACCCCTCCGTGGGGTCTCCGCGCCCCTCTGCTGTCCTCAGCACTCCAGGCTCAGCCGCCAGTAGCCGGACCCAGTATAAATATATATTATATATAATGCAAAGAAAGGTAAATGGTTTTACTGCGATTTTTATCGAGAAGTAAATATTTCGATTTTTTTATTTATTTAAGCTGTTCATTCTGGCAATGATTTGGCAACAGTGCAGGGCGGGCCTCGGAGCTCTATTTTTACTGTCTGGTATTTAACTGAAACACAGTTTCTAAGCAATAGGAGGCCACCTTCAGTTGCGAGCTGGGTGCCAGGCTGGGGCCCCTTCCCAATCCCTCCCCAGGAAACACTGCTGACCTTGCAAAGAGGCTGCCAGCTTTCATGCACTTTTTACTTAAGAAAAAGGGGAAAAAGGAGAAAAAAAAAAAAAAAAAACTTTGCCACAAACTGAGCCGCAGAACCTCCCTTTCCCCTCCTCCTGCCTCCTTTCTCCCATCTCCCTTCTCTTCTCCCTTCTTGGGCTCTGCACCAAAGCCATAAGTGGGGGAGGGGCCCTGGGAGCTGGGGCCCTCCCAGGAGGTGCCAACCCCCAGCTCCAGGTGCCAAGTCTCGACTTGAGGAGCACCTTGCTGCCCACCACCCCATTGCTGTTCCCTGGCAGGTGTTGGTGAGCACTGGGTCCAATGGGGCTAGGGTTTTCAGAGGGGCTTAGCAAAGGGGACTCCAGGACAGGGACCGGGTTGGAAAGGGCTTCCCACTCCTGCCTGAGTCGCTCCATTCCTCAGAATGGCTCCATTCAGAGGAGGCTGCTCCCATCTCCTCTCCTTGGGGATGCCCCCTAAAGCCCCTGYCCCCGGGGAACCCCAGTGAGAGACCTGGGTCAGGCAGGCTAGCCAGGGCTCTGGGCCCACCTGTGAGGAGGGCATGGGTTTAGGATCTTGTTCTGGGCTCTTCTCCAACCCAACACCAGCCTCAGGCAGGTCTTGGAATTCAGGTGGACACCCGCAGGCTGAGTGGCCTTGGAAGACAGGCCTGCCTTGCACAAGGAGTTCCCACCTGCCAAACCTGCATGCTTCCAGGGGATGGGGCCTCTGACYCTGGGTGAGCCATCCCAAGGCAGAGGAAGGCCCCAGACAGGAGCAGATGCTGGAGAAATCCCCTTTTCTGCCCCCACCCCCACAGGGGCCTCTCAGGAGAGAAACCCCCAGTACACCCCTTTCCCAGGGCACTCTCCCTGTATCTTCAAGGTGACATGCCAGCCCCACCCCCCAGGGGGCTTTTTGGCCCAGGAGGGCCAGCCTCGGGATAAAGGCAAAAGAGAAACCCCCATCACTGTCCCATACTCTCTAAGTCATARGGACACAAGGCTTTGAGGGCAAGATACAGGTCCCTGCCCCTCAGGTGTCCTAGAGTCTAGGATTTGGCTGTCACCTTAGGAAGGGGCCAAGGGCTTGGCCAGAGGGAGGCTCACGCAGGACTGGCTCCTGTAGCAGGCCTGGGTCCTGCAGCCTGCTGCCCCCAACACCCCCTCGGCCTTGTCTTTCTATTTGTTCTTCATTTGACCTACACCCTGTGTTCCTGTTGTTCCTCCTCTCAGCAAAAGTCCTGTTCCTACTCCCTCTGTCCCACCCACCCTGTCCCCCCCAAAATAAGCTATCATTGTTGTATTTGCAATCTATGGATTAGAGGTTTAAGTATTTATTATTATTGGTTAATATTATTATTATTAATTATGTAAATTTGCCTCCTGTCTGTCGTGTTGGGTTTCTGAGGTGACCCTGGGTGTGGAGGATGCACTGGCTCCCCCCTCCTCGCCCCACCCCTGCTGTCCTGGAGACAGTGGTCTGGGGCCACTGGTTGAGCCCCCAAACTCTGGGGCAGGTCCCAAGGCCCCTTTCCTGCCCTCCCCAGGTGTGGCTTCTGTCCTGGGGTACATAGGGCTGGCAGCCTGTCTCTGCTCTCACTCTGTGACACTGGTCTTGGCTGCCACCTCCTGTATGCCAGGGAGGCTGGGCACAAGCTCTTCCCTGGTCCCTTTCCACCTACTGTCTGAGGTACGGAGGGGTCACTGGGTCCCATCCAAGCCTCGCCACCCATCCTATCCCACCCACCTGGCCACTGCCTGGCATTGAGATGGCCCAGAATGGACCTGGCCCCCTCCTATTATTTGCTGGAAAGTCCAGCGCAGGAGAAGCGGCCAGTCCCCCACCCAAGGCTCCCAGTCCCTGAGGACTGGGACGCCAGCCTGCTGCCCTTCAGACTCCTGCCTCCATGGGCTGCACTTTCCTGTTCCCTCCTTTTGTATTTGGAAACAATGTGCTGTAATAAATCCTAAGATGATGTTTTCCCAGAGCCTGGCTGCCTCTTTCTTCATGCAGGTGGTGGGTGGTGGTGGGGGTGGGGAGCAGTCTGGAAGCCCCCTGAGGCCAGGACCCTGGTGCATTGGGCCTGGAAAGGCTGCTTGCCTCTTGCTGTGTGAGCAAAGTGCTGGGGGAGGGGGCAGCTTGTCCCCTGTGGCCAGGATGGGGAGGGACTGGTCTCGGGTGCACTCTTACCATGTGAAATATCCTTTTTTATTGTTACCTGCTAGTAAAAGTAGAAGACTTAAAAACTCCCCTCACCCACAGCCCCACTGTCAACAGCTGGATGCAGCCCTGCAGAGGTCTGTACCTGTGTGTGCACATGTGTGTGCAGGCTAGATAGTAGCTTTCCCATTAGAAATGGGATCTACTAAGTACCACTTGTGCATGGTACCAGGATCAAAAGGACACAGGATATCTGGTGGAAAGTGTTGCCGTGTGTCCTACCCTGTGCCCAGCCACTGGGTTCCTCTCCCTGGAGGTAGCCTGGCCTCGGCCTGCACACACGCACCCTGCCCAGAGCATCCGGGTGTGCACCAGCTGCACAGATTCYACAGTGTGAGCGCAGCCCTTGGCTTGGGCTTATGGACTGTGCGGCATCACAGCCCACATGGCCGTGAGCATCCTCCCACGCTCCCAAGGGTGGACTTCCAGAGAATCTTTTCTAGGTCTCTTCACATTGGCTCAGGAGTCAGTCCAGCAGCAGCTGGAATGTAGCCAGCTCTCAGGATRCACCAACCACCACTCAAGGTGCTGTCTGGAGTTTCCAGGCGGTTCCTCAGCAGATCAGCAACTGTGAGAGGTTTGGCTGATCCGTCAAGGGACCCTTCCTTCCCACTTTGCAAGCAGATATGTACTTCAAAGCAGTGATGTGACACCGGGTCCAACACATGCAAGTGTGTCTGTATGCACATGTGTGTGAGTACATGTGTGTGTGAGTACACSGGTATGTGCAAAAGAGGAGGGGGAAGGGGTGCAGTTAGTCCTCTCCACAGGCTGCAGAAGACAGGTCCTCGAATCCTGCATCCTCAGGAGTCCTCAGAGAGGCTGAAAGCTGGGAGCATGGTCTGACTCCAGCAAGGCTATTTTTAGCTCAAGAACATCTATTTATAATCCTGACAGCCCCTAGGAGTCAATAAAACCAGGACTGGAAAAAGCTGCTGATGTCTTGGGCACACAGTGTGCCCCACCCCATGCTCTTGAGCACCTGCAGCAGCAGGGGGTGTAGTGCAGGGGTCTGACAGGCTCCGGACTCTGGTGACAGTGTGAGACTCCACACAGGTGTCGGGTAGTTGCCATTTACTGACTCAGCCAGGTTGAGGTCAACTTGACCAAGGGCAGCAGAAGAGACGGACATGCTAGGCTGGCTCCAGCTGCCCTTGACTACCATGTTGGGGATGCCCAAAGCTCCCCCAAAGCCATGACTCCCTGCTTCTACCCCTACACTTCTCTTAGGCACCTCGTGGCTTCTGGATGGGTGGGTAAAGGTAGAAGGCTGTGGGAGAGTGGGGATGAGCAGATAGGTGGATCGATGAGGATAAGTGCGTGAATGGATAGGAGGCAGGAGGATGGCTCTGGGGGATGGAGGGGAACAGCAGTCCCTTTCTGTGAGTCTGTGTGTATTGAAGCTGTGTGCTGACCCCCAATCTCCCACTGTGCTGCCAAGAGGCTCCTGGTCCTTGCACACAGATGGAACCCAGAAGACGTGCAATGAGTAAGCCACACACTAGCAGTCCTGAGGCTGGACCCACCACAGAGCCCAATTCAGCCCGCTCCAATGCCCAGAAAGAAGAGAAGGCTTGTCCCTCAGATGTCAGAGGCAAAATTGGGCTCCACTTGGTCCCTGTCTCACCGGTCCTGGGCCTGGCCTTGAGCTGCTGGTCTCATTGACCCTCCAGCCCCTGCAGCCCTGCCGGAGCTTCTGTGGGTGTGTGCACCAGGCACTGCCCAGGCTCAGGACTGAAGGGTCTGGGCAGGAGAGTGTGGAGGCTGGTCCTCAGAAGGGTTTCCTGGCCTCCAAAACACGTTGTGCCTGAAAAGGCTGAGAGTGCAGAGGGGGCACTGCCGAGGACCACAGGGTAAAGAAAGGGCACAGGAAGCGCTGCACGGGGGAGGAGCCACACAGAGGCTGAGGGCCTCAGGCACAAAGCAGGGGCTGCCAGGGAAGGCCTCTGCCAACACCCAGCAGGAGTCTAGTAAGTGTTCTTCATCCTTCCCAAACTGAATAAGGACTTGCCTGGCTTCAGAGCCTGCTGGTGTCCCCAGGTCGGCAGCAGCTGCCAAGGGGGTATTCTCTGAGAGGGCAGGGTCTGAATGAGCAGACTGGGAGGGGGAGCCTACTCTGGGGGAAGGGCTGAAGAAGAGGAACTCTGGAGTGGGAAGGGGCCAGAGCAAATCTCCATGAAGGACCACCGTTGGGACCCCAGAGGAGGTGACAGAGCCCAGCTGGCTGCTCAGTCCAGAGGTGTCCCTCAGTGCCTTTGCAAACACGAAATGTGAAAGTCGAGTGCAGGAGGACTTTCCTGGGCAGCTCTTTGAGCAGAAGGGTTGAGAGCMGAGGGGAAGGCTTCTTCCCCTTTCCATGGGGAATCATGCAGCAATCCAGGGTCGGGCACCATTGGCATGGTAGGCAGAAGCCAGACTCAGGCTGATGCAATTGTCSGCCACAGCTATAAATAGCCAAGGAGAGCCTGAAATAGAAGTAGGGGGGAAAGATGGGAGGGGTGCTGGGGGACARGGAGCCCCGGAGCCTGGTGGGAAGGAGATTCTGTCTGAGTGCCAGAGCCAGAGCCAGAGGAGGAAACAAAGCCGGGCCAAAAGCATCCTGCCCTGCCCCAGTCCATAGGGTGTTTGCACCTGGAAACTGGGAAGCAGGGCGAAGTTGGGAGCTCTGTACAGTCACGCCAGAGCAGTGACTCAGAGCCCAGGCCTCCGAGCTGCTGCGTGGGTTGGGAGGGATGGGGAGCTGCACCCACCATAGCTCCCTGCCTTGGGCTCTGGGTCTCTGCTGGACAGTAGCCCCTTCTCCTGATACCCACAGGACAAGCTGAAAGAGATTCCAGTGCCCCATCTCTCTCTGCCCCTTTCTAGTCAAACCCGTGCCTGGGAGACCCCCCCAACATCCCTCACACTCCGTAGGGCTGGGATGGGTGGACCCTAAGTCTGCCCAGAACCCTGAAGGAAGGAGGATCTCAGATGGGGGCCTTTACCCCATCATTTGCCAGGAATCTCCCCCAGGTCAGAGGCAGAACATTGCCCACCTGTTCAAGAACACACTAAAGCTAATGGGGAACCAGCCGCACAGCAGTGCTCTGGGCCGGCATCTTTCTGATCCAGGTATTCTCTTCCCACCTCTTGCCCACATACCTAGGGTTGAACACCTAGGTGTAGGCCAGGCACCCACAGGCAGGCAATGCTGAGCACTCACAGGCAAGACCCCCATCCCAGCCAGGTAGTGCCTTCCAGAGACTTGGGAAGAACACACCCTCCCTGGGTTTCCCCACMAAGTGCCCTTCTCTGTTCTGTGCTGGTGGTCAGCCGCGAGAGGAAAGTAAGGCTTGTGGCTGGGGGGCTGATAAGAACAGGTGGATGTCCCTGATGCAGCCAATAACATCTTGTGAGCAAACCCTAACCGGACCTCAGGGAGTAGCAGAACTTAGGGTAGGGGGACCCGGTGTGGGAGGGGGAGTTTGGGGCCCTCCCTTTCCCTGCTGGTAACTGGCAGCCCCGCCCCTTCCCGAGATCAAGGCCCAGCAGGGGAAGGACTGTGTCAGTGGGTGGGGCTGCCAGGACAGGAGGTGACATCAGCCCGGTATGGGGTACTCAAGGCAGCGGTGGCTGGTGAGGAAGGAAAGCGCCCTGGGGTCTCCATCCCGAGAGGCCAGATCCCACCCCGCTTTTTAAAATTAATTAATTTATTCCTCTGGTCTAATCAGATATACATGACAGCAGCCCATTCCACTTCTTGTGGACAGCGGGCGCAGCCCGGGCTCACAGGGCAGGAGGCCAGGCGCTGCAGGACAGTGCGGCGCCCTTCATCCTCAAAGTGGCTGCCCTGGCGCTTGCGCCCCGGATCCCCAGACCCAGCGAGAACAGAGCACGGGCGCGACGAGCCGCTGTGCTGCTGCAGCGGTCCTGGCTAGCGCGCCTCGGGGTCCGCGCCCCGGGAGAGCAAAACCTGCTCGGCACGAGCTGGCGAGTGCCCCCTCCTAGCGCKCCGGGACCGCGTTCCTCCAGAAAAGGCGCGTCTCAGTCGCCGCGCACAACGCCCTCGGAGCTGGCTGCAGCCGGGCACCTCGGCCACCCAGTCGCCGCGCTCCCTCAATCCGGAGGCGGAGAGCAGCCCGCAGCGCCACCTGCTGCCGGAGTCCGCGCAGACCGGGGGACGGAAGGCTAGGAGGAAGACTCCGTCGGGCTTCGGGTCTTCAAGTACCCCGCCGCGCGGCCCCTCCCACTCTCCTTCGGAGGCCCTCCCCTCGGCCCGCCCGCTGACTCCGATTTGCCCACACCCGCGCCTGCCCTAGCCTCCTAGTCCCTCGAAAAGGTTGGTCACACCCATGGCTTCAACTGTCAACTTTCCCACTGGTATCTGCAGCCACATTTCCTCCTTCCTTGGCCTTCAGGCTTGGAAATGCCAAGTTCATCTGGACGGCTTCACCAAGCTCCCAGGCTGCACCTCCCACCCCTCTTCTGCAGGCTGTTTACTAAAGACCTTCCTCCGKGAGAAGGTGCCCTCCCTGGCCTGCCAGCCTGGCCATGGTCCCTGCTGACCTTCCTGGCCTCAGACAGAGCCTTACTCAGAAGACCCCAGGAAGAGCAGACACACACACCTGTCCCCTACCACACCCCCATGCCCAGCAGAGCCTGGCATTAAGAGTTCCACCCCAGGGTACCGGGTATCTCCTGGTCCTCTGGAACTGGTGGGTTAGTTAGTTTGCACAACTAACTTTTCTTTCAGAGTTCTGGAGGCCAGAAATGAGAACAAGGT